GGCAGGCTGGATCCCAAAGAGAAGGGGAATAGATGATGGGAAGGTGAAAATGACAGCTGCTTACCATAGGCACTTACTGTGTGGCAGACACAGTTTTATGTGCTCTCAAGAACCTCATTTATACCCTAGCTTCAAGGGTAAGAGCTCAGGGCAGGATGGGCCACAGGGCTATGAAGGGGGTCAAGAAATACTAAACCTACTAGTATCTCTACACGCTGTAATGTAGGAGGGTCTACACAGTATAGAAATTTAGCTTAATGTCTCATCCCAACTTACAGCTGGCATGGATGGCAAACTGAGGAAAGGAGGAGGGCTCCACGCCACTAGACTTTATTAAGTTAAATATGCGTGTTAAAATTACTTTATAAGAGGCTAGAGATACCTCCAGATAAGAACAAAAGAGAATGAGAAAAAAAAAAGCAATTTAAAGCAAAGCAAGAAAACACAGGAAAATCTAGAAAAGGTGGGGGCAAATATAAAACACAAAATCAAACTGAAGAAATTAGTCAAAGTATATCAATAATTACAATACATGTAGATGGAATAAACTGTCCACTTAAAAGTTGTCAGATTTGATTTTTTTAAATCTAAACAAATGTTTTTACAAGAAATAGACTTAAGGGGGCACCTGGGTGGCTCAGTCGGTTAAGTGTCTGACTTTGGCTTAGGTCATGATCTCACAGTTTGTGAGTTCAAGCCCCGCGTCAGGCTCTGTAGCTGACAGACTCAGAGCCTGGAGCCTACTTCAGATTGTGTCTCCCTCTCTCTCTGACCCTCCCCTGCTCATGCTGCCCCCCCCCCCAGAAATAAATAAAACATTAAAAAAAAAGAAATAGACTTAACGAAGCAAAAATGTTGAAAGTATAAGGAAAGAAAAATACAATATGCTAGGCAAATACTAACCAAAAGAAATCTGTGTAGCTATATTAATATCAGACAAAGTGAATTTTAAGCAACGTATTTTACTAAAGATAAAGATGGTCAACATATTTTCAAAAAGATTCTATTTATTGGAATGATAGTAATTCTCAACTTGTATATACCCAATAAACTCACTTCAAAAATATGTAAAGTAAAATTTACAGAACTACAAAGAGAAATTAATCACAAACATCATGAATAAGCAATATTAAGAATATAGGGAGGATATTATTGTAGATGTTACAGAGATTAGGAAAGATAATAAGAATGCTATAATCAATTCTATGCCCTAAACAACAGAAAACTCAGATATAGGGAAATTTTTTCTAGCAAAACAGAACTTGCTCAAACTGACTTGGAATGAAAGAGAAAACATTAAAAATAAATACAATGAATGAAACATCAGTAGTACTTGGTTTTGCAAAGGAGTTCTGCCAAATGGTCCAGGAATAAATCATTCCAGTTCTGCACAAACTCTCTCAGAGGAGAGAAAAAGAGAAACTCCTATTCATTTGATGAGGCCATTATAGTATAAATTCAAAAACAAGTATGAGAAAGATATGATTTAAAAAAGAAAAGAACGGAAACAACTCAGGTATCCATCAACAGATGAATGGACAAATAAATTGGACTATAACCTGATGGGTACTTTGTAACAATGACAATGAACTACAGGTGCCTCCATCAACACAGTTTAACTGAAAAAATATCATGTTAAACAGTAACAACAACAAAAGATATCTACAAAAAAAATCATAAAACGCGATTTCCTTTATATAAAAGGGAAATACTAAATTTTAAATACTTTCAACTCGTAGTTTTAATCTTTGGATTTTTCTTTTTTTTTTTTTTTTTTAACAAGTGGTGACATGTTTTTAATCCAGAGTAAATTATAGTTACTACAGAAGTTTATGCTTATTACCCAAGTGATAATGATTGAGATGTATGCTAGGAGATTACATATGCCCCAAACCACGACATGCATTAAGTAACCAAATTTTAGTATCTGAAACTATGTATTAACTGATAAATAAGCCAGAATTTTTCAAGCCTTTATAGGCACTCAAAATGCCAAACAGGTGACACATCTTTCCAGTCATGTTAAACTTACGTTTGCAGTTATAAAAGATTGTTAACAGTTGGTCTGTGTACAGCCATAAAGTGTTGGAGAGCGTTACTATGATCATAAAGTCCAGAAGGCTGGTAATGTTTACAGTTATGAAATGTTGTAGAAGATTGTTTTGCTGACCATATTAGTACTGGAAATACTCTACCTCAACTAATGCCATGTGTTGTTGCATTAGACAAAAGTGTTTTCCTTGCAAGTGATAGTGATTCAGTTGGATAGCCCTGGACTTACCTTAGTTTCACATACTCCCGGCCTCTCTGCCTTCTAAGAAAGACGCAGGAGTCATGGAAAGGACTCTTTCTCCCAGTTTGAGTTATGGACACACCTCTCAAGCAGTCACGGCTGCCCCATGTGGATAGCTTAATCCAAAAGTATCCCCTAGGGGATGGGACCCAGTGATGGCACTCCTACCCGGACCACGTGCTGTGGGGAGTGGATGGGTCCCAAAGGAAGGCATGTGGGGCACATAAATCACATTTGTCCGCTCAAGTTTTATTTCAAGATGATTATCATCTGTGAATAGCCTTGCGGGAGCTAGCTAGATCTGGATTGTCCCCATTTGGAAAATGACAATACTGCTGAATTAATTATTATTTCATGAAAAGAATAAAGCTGTAATTTACAGCCCCCTTAAAGTAAAATGCAGGCAGAACACCACAGTATGTTATTTAGGGATACGTAAATATTTGCTGAAACAAGTCAGGTCCTGGTAAATTCTGTTTCTTAACCTAAGAAGTGGTTATACTGGTATCCATTTTAGTATTCTTTAATATTCTTTAAACTATGCATATTTGTTTTTTATGTAGTCTCTTTGGGTATATGATGTATTTCATTTAAAAATATTTAATGACAGAATGGACATGTAACAAAAAGATATGGCTGAGTAGAGGAATTATTTGAAATGTTTATTTTCTTTGTTTTGTTAATCTCTACAGCCTGAATTTTTTTTACCAGGATCATGTGCTATTTCCATAATAATATTATTTTAAGTGATTTGTAAGCTCGTTAGAAGGGAGATAGTCCTCTCCTAGCCAAAGCTAGCTTTTCTTTGATAATTTCACTTTATCAGAGCTGCGTCTGGAATGTTAATCCAAGGGTAGATACCTGCCTGTTTGGTCAAATATGTACACTGGCTGGCATGGAGGACTGGAGCCTCTGAAGTGCCAGGCGTATGACCTTGAGGTCCAGGTGAGGGCGGGTGTTCTGGGGAGAGAAGGGTTGGCTAGAGAGAGAACTGGTCTACAGAGAGACCTTGGGCCACTCGGGGACTTCAGCAGTGGCTAAGCTGGAGAGTACCTGCACACTGAGGGAAGCTAGGATGTAGGTGTCCCCTGTCATCTGTGTCTTACGAAGTCAGGCGTCCAAACCTACAACCCCCATCTAACAGATTCCAAAGGGAAGCTCAGTGCTCTCTGCGCTCTCTATGTGGAAGAGAGGAGGGGCAGGGAGTTTGATTCCTCTGGCAGCCAGATTACCTTAACAGATGATGGCAGGAGCTGAGGCCAGGTGTGAGCTTCACAGAACATCCCAAGGAACTGCACTGGGTCTCACCCAAGCAATGGGTGGCTCCCAGCTTGAAACTGACAAGGAAAGTTACCACTTCGGCCTAGGCAGGGAAGCCAGAAGTGGGAGGCACTGGTGGCTTTAGACAGAGCTGAAGCCATATTTTGTCCTGTCCTGGAGCTACAGAGACCCCAGACGGAGTCTCTAGGGACACCGCGCAATACTCCGCTTCTCCCGTGTTTGCACGGGTGGGTGAGCTGAGATGTGCTGCCAATGAGGAACTGCACTCCCCAAACCGCGGCTGCTTGCACATTTGCTTCCCCATTCAGCCCAGCCCACATGCATGATCCGCACTTAAATCTCTACACCAATTGGTTGTTTGCACTGAAATACATGAGGAAACTTGATATTGTCACCATAAACGGCAATGTAGTATCACTTGTGGAAATCACGTGAACATAGATACAATCACACAAAATCAAGCCAGATTGCCTGATGAAAGCTCTGATCCTGCCTCCTGCTCTCTGTCATCAAGGGAGACCTACAGGCATTGGGCGCTGGAGCCAGGAGCGCCACACTGAGCCTTTCCCTCTGACTTCATAAAGCTTGAAATAAAAGTGATAAAGGAATTCTTTACTCACTGAAAGTAGCTAAAGAGAAAAGCAGGTCTGCCTTCCACACGTTAGCAGGCAACAGGGCCAAGAAAGGTGTATGCCCAGAAGTGAGGGAAATCCTCTTCTTCCTAAAAATGTATGCCAAATACTTTGTTAAAACTTTCCTACCAAGCTTTTGGCTCAGTCAGTCTTCAGTGATCTATTCTTTGATCAGATCGACTCAACAGAGATTAACAGAGGAACTACTCTATGCCAGCCATAATTGTCGGGGCAAGTGCCTTGCCTTTAGGGAGCACATATTCTAATGGAGACAGATATGTGCGCAACTGATTTTTATGCAAGGCTGAATAAATCTGTGTGTCTTCTTCTCCCAGCCTTCCCCAGACTCCTGCAAGGCATGCCGTAGACTGTTCAGAAATCATTTCATCTAGGGTCAGAAACAGCAAACATTACCTGCGCTCCTACTGTGAGCCAGGCAATGTGTGGGACCCCTTTGTACATATTTTATTAATACTCATTCCTCCCCAGGAATTGGAAAGGTGGTTATTTTTTCCTCCATTTGGGGTTCAGAGGAGTTCAGGGACACACAGCATGTTAGAAGCAGACTTGAGATCTGAAAGCCCATCCCCTGGAAGCTCTGCTTTATGGGTTGAGGGAAGACATCCCTGCTGCGCACAGGCAGCTCTGGTGGCAAAGCTAGGGCTCCCACCCCATCCCACCCCCACCCTTCCCAAGGCCGGCTTCGAGGAAGCAAAGGCCAGAGGCTAGGTCCTGGGCCCACTGGCCTTGCTCCGTGGTCACCGCAGCCCTGACCTGTGCTTGTGTCTCCTCAGGAAGCCAGCGCTATCCTGCACTGTGTGCTCCAGCAACCTTCTAAGCTGCTGCAAGAGTCTGTGGAGGCTTAGGGCCCTCCAGAGACACGTGAGAGGCCCCTCAGAGGAGCAGCCAGGCGAGCCACTGTCCGAGGAGCCACTGAGGACACCACCCCAGAAAGCGGTGAGGACTCTGCCCTCCGAGGCTGTCTAGACCCAGCCCAGGACACAGAAGATACTGCTTCTGGTCACCAAGATTTGACTCCTGGAGCCATTACGGACCCAGAAGCCCCCCGAGCCACGAAGATGCACCCTAGCCCGAGTCTAGGGAGTCCCAGAGCACACAGCAGGGTGCCGGGGTCCTTGGGTCTAGCGTGGAGCAGCCTGTCCTGTGCCCAGCATTCCCAGCAGATGCACAGAAGTCTCCTGGGTCTGGGTCCACTGAATCCCATGGGTTCAGAGCTCACGTTGGTGCTGGCCCTGAGTCATGAGCAGAGATGGCTGAACATTGGAGGAGTGTGCGCAGGTGTGTGTGGATTTGTACCTGCGGGAATGCTCAGGCCCTCTGAGCACAGCAGAAGGCGTTGCCAAGAAGAGTTAGTCTCTCACTCCCTCATGGGTTCTGTAGGATAAAGGAAAGGAATGGAGAGGGAAGGGGAGAGAAAGGAAAGGAAGGAAATTAGCCTTTAATGAGCACCTTCTGTGTGCCCATTACTTTATCCACATGAGTTCACATAATCCTTATAACATGTGGTAAGAATCGCCAACCTACTTTACAGAGGTAGAAACTGAGGCTCAAAGAAGACCAGGGCCTGCCTCAGGGTACTCAGCTAATATGGGTGCCTGGCTCATAAGAGGCACTCGAAAAATAGTTGTGCAGTGAATGAACGAGTAGGAGCATGGGTAAAAAGCCCGGCTTCAAGCCCATGCTCTTGACATGACCTTGCACTGCTTCTCAGGAGAGAGATCAAGGTATTTCCTTGACTCAGCCTACCCTCCTCTTAGCGAGGCTCGGACCCGGAGCCTAGGAGATCCCTTCATGCTGCAGTACTAACCCTCTCTGGTGCTTTTCATCAACAAGAAGGGGTGTGGAGTGGAGCGAACATTCGAACATTCGGAGCAGGTTCGGGGTGGGCGGTGGTGGTAGTGCACCAGGGTCCTGGAGGGAGAGATGGCCTTGGGGGTGGGGGAGTCGACCCCACAGCATCCTCTGCTGGGTGTGTGACCTTGGGTCCATCCGTAGCCATCTTTCTCAGCATCTCTTGACTCCTGTATCCAAGAGGGTAAGATCCCCTATTCGCAGGGTTGTTGATGAGACCCAAGGAGGTGGGGGTGATTACAGCCTGGAGAAACCCTCACTGCTGACCACAGCCCCTCCCTGAGCCCACTCCTTCCTTGGTTCCCGGACCTCCTCGTGGTGCCTCCCTCCTTGCACACCTATGCCTTCTCAGCCCTCTTTCGACTCGCTGACCTCTCCCTGGCTGTCCAGTGTGCCTGTCCCCAGGGCCTCCTCTTCTCACTGCAATTTCTCTCCCTCTGTGGCCTCATCTGCACCCTCTTAACCGAAGTTATCAGAAAACTTCCTTGTGAGGAAATTATTCACAGATTTATCCCTGGAGCCCAGATTTCTTCTGGGAGCTTTCCAGCCATGACTGTGCCCCCAACACCTCCACCTGGGTGTTTCAAAGGCACCTCACATTTTGCAGTCCACAGCCCCACTCTTGACCTTTTCCCTGCACCATCTCTTCTGCCAGGTTGCATGTCTCAGACAGAAGTCGGCTGCTGGCTTTAGAGCCTGAGCCGCTGGCCAAGGGGGTCAGCCTTTGGCACCTCCCTTTCTAGCTCCTCATGCTCAGTTTTCTTGAGCCCTAGCTCGACGTGTGCCCACCTTCTGCTTGATTCTCTGCACCTGCCCTGCCCCCACTCGGTCCCACTGCCATCCCTTGGTCAGGACAATCGAGACAGCTACCTGACAGCTCTCCACGTTCCCCGCTGGCCTCCCCACCCAACAGCCACAGCAGGCCGTGCAAAACGCTAATATGGTCACGTCGCGCACGCCAGACACCATCTCTCTCATGGCCCCCCAGCCCTGCGTGGTCAGCCTGGACATGTCCCTCCAGCCGTCTCCTGCCACGGTGTCCTCGGTCGCTTCACCCAGCCCTGCTGGCTTCTCCCTTCTGTTTGTTTGTTTTATTGCTCTTTGCAGCTACTAGGCTGTGCACAAAGCTGTTTCCATGACGTGGAATGCTCTTCCCACCCTTTTGACCATGAGATCTCAGCTGAAATATCACTTCTTGAGGAAGTCTTCCTTGCCCCCGGACCCTATTAGGTCAAGCCTCCCCCACACACCCCAAAATTATTGTTTGTAATTTACAGTCATCTGTGTGGTTCTCTGTCCATCTCCCCCACTCAGGAGGTCATGCTCCCTGCCTATTTCTTTTGTCCTTTGTGTGTCTAGCCCCTGGAAGTGTTTGGCACATAACAGGGGCTTTAAGCAGTTTATCTGCCAGTATACTTGAAGGCATGATTTGCCCCAATGGCCCTGTGAGATGCTCAGTTTCTTGGCTGGATTCCTCCTGGAAGCCCCAGAATCTCCTCCTCAGGTTTTCATGGGAATCTGAGGCAGGTGAGTCTCTAAGTCACAGTCAAGTAGTTGCAGGCGTAAGGCTGGTCTGGCTGATCACAGCTGCTCAGGGCTCCAACCCATCGTGCCCACACACCACCTGCCACGGTCGGGGGGTCTGTCTCTGAGCTGCCCCCACCCTTCTGGAGGCTTCCTCGAGCCTCTGCTGGCTGCAGAAGTGGGGCACATGCTGTCTAGAGGATGAGCGTCTGCGGTGGGTCCCCAAATCCATGTTCTGTGGTACCACCGTGTTCCAATAAAGCTATTGAAACAGATGCTGCCTTGTGGTTTTATTTTTTCACTTCCTGGTGAGGAATATTCCCCAAACTTCATCACACAGTATGTCTTGATTTAGAAAAAGAGTTATGATAAAATACTGTGGTAAAGGCCAACTTGGAAGCTACCTTCAAGAGTAAAGGAGTTCTCAGGGAATGAGATTTCATCGTAAAACGCCACATTGGCAATGAAGGGTAGGCTGGTCGGAAGGACCAGGCCTTTGTCCTGTTCGCCTGGTGAGCCAGGCACGTGGTAGTCACTCGATAAGGGTTTGTAGAAGGGAATGTTCCCGAAATTGTCAGCTTCAGAGACGCCTTTGTGAAGTAGTAGAAAAAGAGATCTTTAAAATGGAAAATGTGTCAGATGAGGAAGTCTGCAATAGAGTAGATGGTTGAGGAGCAAGTGGGAGACTGCCAGGTCAAGAAGTTCGTGGGGTTTGTGCCAGGAGTGAATCCCAAAGGCACTGATGAGAGGGTTTGGAGAACGAGAAGGGGAACTGACCACAGTCGAAGTCACCGTTTGAGGACAGTAGTAAGCAGTGTCCCCTGGGAGGGAGGGGAGGAGGCTGTGGAATCCTGAACGTGGAGAATTGCAGCGAAGGCCCTTGATGAATGTCCATGAGAAGCAGAGAAGGGATTACAGGTCAGCTAGGCTAAAGCTTCCGGGAACCGATTGGCTCAAAATGGGTTGTAATGTGGCTTTTTTCAGGGGAGAAAAGACCCAGCTGTGCTAAGGGAGACTTGGGAAAGATGAGAGTAGCAGATTGAGCCAATAGATGGTGTTAAGCAGTTCTGTGTAGATGGAAGGAAATGACAGGGAAATGTCCCCCGAGCTACAATAGTGGATGTGATGAATAGTGGGGCACTGTACAGGCAGCCGGCCAGGGCTGAAAGCCTGGGAATCACAATTTCCAGAATCCTATTCCAACCAATAGGGAGCTGGAGAGAAGCAAAACCATTATTGCCAAGGGGGCAAAGGGGTGGGGGAGGGTGCGGAAGGGAATGGAGACCAGGAAATCTGGAAGGGCTGACTGTGGGGAGTGAGTGCAGGGCCCCGAGGCAGCTGCACTGGGAACAGGAGTAATGGCATAGCTTGGAAGGGTCTTCATCAAAAGGGGCTAAAATGATGACGTCTGTGTTAAGGAAAGATCATTCAAACTCGAGGTGAGGGAGCAGCCCTGTCAATGGGGGTGGCCTGTAGCGTTTTATAAGCATCTACCACAGGCTCTACTGCAGACCATGGACTCCATTCTGGGAACCCAAAGGAACAGACCTTCCCCCTCCAGAGAGACTGGCTTAACCCTGAAATTACCAGGGAATCATGGAAAGAATGGGACATGGGGGCCAGTGCTGGGATGGCCAAGACCTGGTGTAAGGTGCAGAGATCAGAGCATGGGGCGGGGGACGTGGCCGTGGCAGCCATGACCTTCTTTTTTTTTTTTTTTTTTTAATGTTTCTTATTTATTTCTAGGAGAGAGAGAGAGACAGTGTGAGCAGGGGAGGGTCAGAGAGAGAGGGAGTCACAGACTGAAACAGGCTCCAGGCTCTGAGCTGGTAGTCAGCACAGAGCCCGACGCGGGGCTCGAACCCACTAACTGCGAGATCATGACCTAAGCGAAAGTCGGATGCCCAACCGACCAAGCCACCCAGGCGCCCCAGCCATGACCTTCTGAAGGGATGCATTCCTGGGGCACGTGGGCCGGCTGTGCTTAAACGCAGGTTAGAAGTGTTGGAAGTGCTGGGTGGGAGGGAATGCTCTCTAGCTGAGGCTGCGGGAATCTGTTTGGAATCCTATCTTGGCTTTGTAGCCAGCAGTTCACCTTTGCTGACCTGACTCCAGCTAGAGCTTTGAGGGAGAATTTGCCATCCTCAATGTCCATCTGACGGAGCTCTTTCCAGGCCACTCAAGAAGGAAATAATTGCCAAGGACACACAGCTCCCAGAACTCCAAGCTTCCCAGGGACAAGTCAGGAGCTTTCCATGTTTCACTATCAGCCTGAAGAGTGACTGGGAGAAGTTCCCTTTCACCCAGCTGATAGCTCTAAGGAGCTCATAATTTGTTATTTTGGGAGATCATTGAAGGTGTCAATGCCACATCCCCTACCTCCCCGCTCAGGGTCACACAGCACAGCAGGCTTCTCACACCCCGAGACGCCGCTGTGCAAGCCCGGCTGGGCCACAGCTCTCATTGCTGGGGCATTACCAGGTCTCTCATGTGTCCAGTGGTCCTGGCAGGATTCCCAAGGAAATAGCGTCACAGAGGGACCTGCAGACTCGGTGGCTCCCAGACGCCCTCATCATTTGCTTTCAACTGACATTTATGAGCCCCTTCTTGTGCCCAGACATTATGTCAGCCCCTCCACAGACACTAGCTCACTTCTTCCACCAGTCAGCCCCGCCAGATAGAGATTCACATCCCCACCAACTGGGGCCTGAAGAGGGACACAAAGTGAGCAGGTAAAAACCCAAGCAAGTGACACAGCTGAGGCTCCAACCCAGACCCGCTGTTCTTCAAAACTACCATTACCGAGAAGTCCAGAGTCCCTCTGACCACCCTTCCCCATCCTTCCCCCTAGCAATTCTCCCTGATGCAACCACTCTTACCCAGTTTGGTGCATGGTGTTTGGTTCCGTTTTGTTGGCTTTAGCCTAAACGCTATGCTCTACCTTAGGAGCTGAGTTCAGCAGTGTGTCTTCAAGGTTCAACCACATTAGCCCATGAAGGGCTCCTTCATGATTGCTAACCACCAGAGGTGTTCTGTAGTGTGGCCCTAGCTATGATCATTTGAGGCATTTCTAATTTTTAGCTGTTTAAACAATATGATGCTGATCGTCTGACATTGCCTTGTGCACATATGCAAGTGGGTTTTGGTGGTGGTGGTGGTGGTGCTGCTGCTGCTGCTGCTGCTGCTGCTGCTGGCGGGGGTGGGGGGTGGGAGAGAGACGGTGTGCATGTATGCTTAACATACCTACAAGTGTAATTCTGGAAAGCGAGTATACGTGTTGCCCAATAGCCCTCCAGAGAAGCACAGATCATCCAAGCTCCCACCAATGACCCTGGGGGGTGGGGGCCCGGCTCCCTACAGCCCCACCATCCCACCTATCTTTTCTATCATGCCTTGGCTTCTTCTATCCCCTAGAAGTTAGAATATTCCCCCTAGAGATGTCCTACCTCCAGTGAGTGAGAACAGGACATTTAACTAGAAGAA